GCTCTCCTCGGCCGGACTGTGGCCAGACACCGTCCATCACAACAGTAGCCCTGTCTGTCTTACTTAGCCATGTTTACCCCTCGTTCCTTGGATACTGCCTGGCGCATAGCAGATGCTCAGTAAACACTGTTGAATGAATGAATGGAGGAGATCGAACACAGGAGGAATAAAGAGCCCTGCCTTGTGGGTCTGCTAGAACAGAAACATACACACCCAAAGCGAGGGGACTTTAGAAGTCCGTTTGTAGCAGAGTACAGTGGCTTATAGCGGAGAGAAGCTGATCTTCGAAGAAGGTCATCGGAGTGACCTTCTCAGTTACTCACACAGAATAGAAATGAGGGATTAAGGTGTAATTGAGCTTTTTTGTTACCCATTTGAGACTGCCAGCCTTTCCTTGAAATCTCTGAAATGGAAAGGGGAAGAGGGCGGGGGAAGATGGATTACTGTTCAATAGGATTCCAGGGATTTCAAGAATCCGAGTTAATTAGCCATGGGCCTGGAAGGGGGGGGGTTTAATGGACTAAGGTTACTGTGGCTCAGAACCTAGAAATAAAACTCGAGGAAAAAAAAGTGCAGGTTAGTGATTTGAACCTCAACACACAACAGAGAGAGGAACTATTTCGACACGAGTCTGTGGCTAATAGGAAACCACGGCCTCCACCACCGCCTCCACCACCGTATCTGGCTTTCCTGGTGTGGTCCTTGTCGTCTGGGGCATGGTGGTGGGTGTTACAGAGCAAACTGAAGAGGGAGCCAGAGCAGGGCACCGAGAGGGAAGAGAGGGAATTCTCCCCTGAAAAGCTGTGGTGGCCTAGGCTGTACAGGAAGCTGGACTTGCAAGGCCGAATAATAAAAGGGACCTTCATCTTCTGTAGGAGAAGGACCAGTTCTCGTGGCGACGCCCAGTGGAGCAGGTTATACCAGTTATGTACGCAAAATATAGGGCAGCTGAAGCACACACAGCAAGGCGTGAAGGAGCAGCATTCTAGAATCACGCATTCAAAGTGTGGTCCAAGGACAACGGAAGATTTCCTGCTGCCTTCACCTTCCAGACCCAAGTCTAGAGTGGTAGGGCACCCTCCGTATTCTCTCTCTCTCTCTCTTATTTTTTTAATATTTTATTTTTAATGTAAAGTATTTTCTTGGCTGTCCGATCCTCCTTTATCTGGCTAATCCCTCCTCCCATTTAGGAGAGGCAAAAGCTCAGGCCCATTTTTTTCTTTTTTTAATTCACTTTTTTTTTTTTTTTGAGAGGTTTTTGCTATAGGGCGCGTGCGCTCACCAGAGAGAGACAGAGAGACAGAAAGTGAGAAATCACCCCCCGGGGGGATGGCCATGGCTCAATCCCTTCTCCTCCATTCTCCTCTCGGGATCTTGAGCATGCACGCACATGCGCCCAGCCGGAGTTTTAAGCCACCGGGTCCGGGACGCGAACCGCGGTCTACTACACAGGAGTCCAGCGACACGGCCATTATGTTAACTGCTGGTCCCAGGCCCATTTAAAAAATATATATATATTCTTGAGTCTACTTAAATTTATTTTTTTATTTTTTATTTTATTTTATTTTATTTTTTTTGCTATAGGGTACGAGTGCTCGCCAGAAAAACAGAGAGACAGAGAGAAAGAAAACGAGACCCCCCAGAGACGCCGCAATCCCTTCTCCTCCATTCTCTTTTTGGGATCTTGGGCACTCACGCACACGCGCCCGGCGTGAGTTTAAGCCACTGGGTCCGGGACTCGAACTGCAGTGGACTACATGAGAGTTCAGCGACATAGCATTATGCTAACTACTGGCCCAAAGAAATACATTTAATAGATACCATTAACTGTCCAAACATCTGGATAATCGGTAACCCAGAAGGTGATAAAACTAATAAGGGCATTGATAACCTATTCAATGAAATCCTGGAAGAAAACTTTCTAAATCCAGAGAAACTTTAAAATATCCAGGCCCAATAAATACAACGGACCACACATAGAATCAATCCAAGAAGCCAGATTGACCATCATAGTCAGATTGACCAAAACCACAGTCAAAACCAAGATACTGGGGACCAGCAGTTAGCATAATGCCTATGACACTGGACTCTAATGTAGTCGACCGCGGTTTGCGTCCCAGACCTGGTGGCTTAAAACTCCGGCCATGCGCGTGTGCGTGTGTGCTCAAGATCCCGAGAGGAGAATGGAGGAGAAGGGATTGCGGCCTGGCTATCCCCCCTGGGGGGTGATTTCTCACTTTCTGTCTCTCTGTCTCTCTCTCTGTCTGTCTGGCGAGCGCATGTGCCCTATAGCAAAACAAAACAAAACAAAAAAACACAAGATACTGGGACCAGCAGTTAGCGTAATGGCTATGTCACTGGACTCCCACATAGTCAACCATGGTTCGAGTCCAGGACCCAGCAGCTTAAACTCACGCTGGGCATGTGTGCGTGCATGCCCAAGATCCCAAGAGGAGAATGGAGGAGAAGGGATTGCGGCCTGGCCATCCCCCCTGGGGGATGATTTCTCGATTTCTGTCTCTCTCTGTCTTTCTGGCGAGCACATGCGCCCTATAGTAAAACAAAACAAAACAAGATACTAAGAGTGGCAAGAGAAATGTCAGGTTACTTACAAGGGATATCCCATCAGGCTAACAGTGGACCTCTCATCAGAAACAATGCGAACAAGGAAAGAATGGAAAAATATATTCAAAGTGTTAAGTGAAAAACAATTTCAAGCAAGAATACTGCACCTGGCAAGATTATCCTTCATATGGGAAGAGAAGACAAGAACGTTCTCAGATAAACAAAACCTGGAAGAATTTACCCATACCAGACCATCTCTCCAAGAAGTTCTGAACAGAGTGCTGTACCAGGAAAACTAAAGACAGACACGTAGGAGTAAGAGTCCAAAAACAACCAATAAAATGGCCATCTTAATAGTAGGGACAAGTCTGGAGTTGAATGTTAAATTCCAGAATTTAAACAAAAAGATCAGACCACAACAGAAGAGAGATTAATTACATGAGACTGAACTGGTGAAAATAGAATTTTATGACTTTTGACTAAAACATTACTGATTTTCTTCTATGCTTTGTTTTCCAGACTTAAGGATTTTTGTCTTCTCTTGAGCGGTCATAGGTCATCTACCTACTATTTGAACAGAATCCTAACCTTTTTCCTGGCTTTAAGTCTTAGGCAAAGTTCTCTTAACATTTTTTGATTTTGATTTATTAAAACTAAAATTGCTTTCCTTAAAATTAATAAAAATATATAAAACTAATGACTGCGGTAAGCTTTATAGCTTCAGCTACTTTATAGTATGTTCATCTACTCACTGAGGTTTATGCAAAGTCAGACATGTGTTCACAGATTTGTATAGATCAGCTGAACTTGCTTTTGAAAGCGTTTAGGTTAATTAGGATATTTTGTGAATCAAAGTGCGGGCAGAGCGGGAGGGGGGGTGAGGGGGGAGGCTTGGAAAGCAACTGTAGATACCAGAGACAGTGCAGGAGGAGGTGGGAAATGGCAGAGGGTGAGAAGTAGGGAATCAAGGGGAAAAGAAAGGAAAAGGGCAAAAATATCTAAGAAATAAGAAATAGAAAATTATTTCTTGATGTTAACATGTATGGTAATATTCTTGATTAAACCAACATACAGTGTGTTCTGCATGGGAAATTGCATTTTGTATGCTGTGATGATGTACAGTGAATGAAGGTAAACCAACAAAAAGACAGTGTCATCTATGGGGCCCGCAGGTGGTGTGGTGGTTAAGGCTCTGGATTCCCACATGGTGGACCCCAGTTCCAGTCCTAGAGGTCATGGCTTAAAATCACGATGGAGGGCCAGCAGGTGGCATAATGGTTAAAACACTGGACTCTCACATGGTCTCAGACCCAGTGGGACTTGAAACTGACGCAAGGCCTATGTGTGTAAGCACCCAAAATCCTACAAGGAGGATGAGGAAGGGATTGCAGCATGGCTATCCCCCCCTGGGGGGGGTGACTTCTCATTTTCTGCGTCTCTGTCTCTCTGGTGAGCCCCCATCCCCTATGTCAAAAATCTCTCTAAAGGAAAAAAACACACACACACACACACTGGGTGCATGTGTGTGCATGTCCAAAGACCCAAGAGGAGAATGGAGAAGAAGGGATTGTGGGGTGGCCATCCCCTTTGGTGGGTAATTTCTCACTTTCTCTCTCTCTCTCTCTGACAAGCACATGTGCCCCATAGCAAAAATTAAACAAACAAAAATAAATAAAAAATCAAAGTGTAGACTAGTAGCATCAGCCTCATGCAGGACCTTGGTGTGGTGGTTAGGGCACTGTATCTCATATGGCTGACTCTGAGGTTCAAATCCCAGACCCAAAAGCCTGCAAACACACTGGGCCTCTGTGTGTGCATGCCCAATGGGGAAGGGATGCAGAGTCGCCATCCTCCCTAGGGAGTGATTTCTCACTTTCATTCTCTTTCTGTGTCTCTCCAGCAAAGCTCACTTGACCTATGGCAAAAGTCTTAGAAAAAAAAAAAAAAATTGAAAGAAAAATGAAAAAGAAATGACGAATCACAGGCCTCATCTCAGACTTCCTAACTCAGAATCTACAATTTAACAAGTTCTGGGACTAGCAGTTGGCATAATGGCTATGTCGCTGGACTCCCACGTAGACAGACGACCACGGTTCGAGTCCTGGACCCGGTGGCTTAAACTCACGCAGGGCACGTGTGCGTGCGTGCCCAGGATCCCGAGAGAAGAATGGAGGAGAAGGGATTGCAGCGTGGCCATCCCACCTGGAGGGTGATTTCTCGCTTTCCGTCTCTCTGTCTTACTGGCATAGCAAAAACCTCTCCCAAAAAAACAAAAACAAGTCCCCAGTAGATATGTACAGTGAAGTTTGAAGAGCACAAAGGAGGATGTGAAATCAATGACGTAACGGGTAGTGGTGGGGATGGGGAGGGGGTAACGAGAAGCCTCTGGTGGCTCCCCCGGGGAATCGGGCAGGTTAGACAAAGCGGCCTGCGGGTTTATCTTGGCGCACCCTGGATGGAACGAGCAAAGGAGCAGAGGTCGCCCGGCTGGGAGCTCTGAACGCAGGAACTGCACGGGAAGGCCTGAGGCAGCCCGAGGAGCGATCTGGTCTGACGCCACTCCCCTCCCCGCTGTCCCCTGCTCCCCACTCTGCCCCTCTGTCTCCACTAGGTCCTCGTTCGTCCCAGTGTCCCATCCCGGGACTTCGCACTCCGACTCCGAGTAACCTGGCCTGCCAGAGCAAGCGCAGGTCTGCTCCATTAGATCCGCCTCGATTGCTTCCGCCTAGCGGGGTTGCTAAGGCCCGGAGCTTCGCCGTTGCGGAGGAAATGACGTCAGCCTGCCAATAGGCGGGCCCACAGCGCCGCCCCTCCTCCCGGTTGGCTGCCGCGAATTCGACAGGATTCGCACTCTCGGGGCCCGGGCTCGGCTAGTGTCACTCCCCCGCTGCTCGCGGCCACTCTCCTCTCTCGGCTCAGCCTGGGGCAAGACTCGGTAGCTCCGGAAGCAGAGGTGGTTTATGGCCCAGCTCCCGCCTCCATGCTGGGCACTTGGGCCATCCAGGTACTTTGTAAGTGTCTGTATTTGGGGCTTCTACTTGAACCGTCGGGAATTGTGGAATTGATGTGCTAAATTAGGCCTGGATGGAGCCGAGGCTGGAGCAGCGCAGAGATTTTGGGAGAATAATAATTGGGGCCTTTGAGAATTAGGGGTCCGCGTTTCAGAACGATGAGAAAGGACGCTAAATAAGAATTCTACAATTAACATTGTTCTGGTTTTCTTTTCAGGGGCTGACCTGAACCTGAACCATTCATTTCAGACCCAAACTACACCCCGGGTGGAAAGGACCAGGCAGCCAAATGGAGACACCAGCAGACAGTAGCACAGGAGAGGATACCTCTCAACTCCAACGATGGGAAAAGAACGCCCAAGGGAACCTCGATTCAACTTCTGAGATTAGGCAGCAGC